TTTTGTAGAATAATTTTTCGATGGAAGTTTCCTTTTTATGGTATACTCTAGAAATTATATTTTTCTATTCTACTTTTTTTACATTGAACTTTCGAAATTTAGAAATTGAGAATGTCGTTTAATTTATTATCTTATGATTGTACGTTATTTATTTATTTTTTATATTATTTTTGAAACGATGAAGCTCTTCATTGAAGACTTTATCTTAAACTTATCTGCTGGCAGTAGAAGAAGTGAGCCATTGTCAGACGTGATATACCCATATTAATTTCAAAATTTCAAGAGTTTCAAAAATTTTTTAAATTCGAATTTTAAATGAAATGCACCACTGTGCCTCAAAATATTTGGAAACTAAGACAGTCATAATATAAAATAACCCTGTAATCTTATAAAATATATTACTTCTTTGACACTTAGCCTCTCGAAGAAATATAATATAGTGTCAAACACTTTTCCTCATATTAGCCTACAAAATCCCTCATATATTTAATTATCAAATTATTAACTATATCATAAAATATATCACTACTATATTTTTCGTACAATACGAAAATTCATTGACACTTAACCTCTCGTAGAAATATAATATAGTTTCAAACACTTTTACTATTTCTTAAGTCCAAAGTCCTCTAAATATTTAATTTCTGAGTTATTAATTACTGACCATCCTATACGTTAAATGGTACCAGTATAAAGAAATGCCGACAGACGTCCCGAATACCGAGTTTACCGTCGACGGGCCATATTTCGCGGTATTCGAGCTGTCCGCGTGCCACCAGGAAGGTTCAGGACACGTCGCATTCAGGAATCGCGCGAGTGCTCGAGCGGAACGCTTCGAATCAGGCCAATCGTCCTCTCGATGGGGCCCCGGTGCATTCGATGCGCGGGCACATGCACATACTTGAGAGTCGTACATGCAAATCAATATTATTGAATTCCCGGCGCGGGCTTTCACGGTGGCATCAAAAGTTGTCGTATTAACAGTTTTTTTTATAAGAGAATCGATTAACATTGGCATTACTCAGCAGGTAAATGAATAATTTTAATTTTCTTATAGAAGTTAGAAAGAATGCAATTGAAGTTTGGAGTGTCTTGCATTTTGGTTAATACGTTATTGAAACAATTTGTTTAATAGTTGAGAATTGATTGTATCTTTATACTGTAGTTAATATATTACTGATATAATTTGTTTAATAATTTCATAGAAAATTGATTGTATCTTTATATTGTAGTTTACATACTATTGAAATATGTAATATGTATGTGTAAAATATGTATTTTTGTATTTTAATTCATATATTATTCTAGAAACAATATTTTTTAATAATATCCCAGAAAATTGATTGCTTTTTTATATTGTAGTTTACATATTATTGAAACAATTCATTTAATAATGTTCTAGAATATTGACTGTATCTTTCTAATAACTCTAAAGAAAGAAATCTATTTTGTTACACATATTATTTTAATAAATAACATTCCTATGTAATACGTTAAAATGACAAAATCTTATCCCCTCTCCACCCGAAAATTTATTTTTATCAATAAAAGGTCTATTGCACATTTATTTTCATCAAGAAATTGTCTACTGAACATTTACTCTGATAACAAAATGTGCTACCTAACATTTATTTCAATCAAAATCAATTTTCCATTCAACAAATTTTCTATTTCATATATATTCTAATAAAAAAATTGTCTATTTAAACTTTATTTCCATCAACAAATATTCTACTTGATATTCATTTCGATCACGAAATCTATTCAAAATTTATTTCGATGAAGAAATCGTTTACTCAACGTTTATTTTACCACGTCTAGTGCCACACGATTTCACACATTAAAATGCACAAAACCAAAAAAACGTAATATCAAACTATATCATTGAATCATTTTATTATTACCGCACGTTTACCTTGCCAAACGTCACTACATTAAATAGCATTACTTATAATATAAAAAAATTCACAAATAATCATCGTTTAATCGACAGAATTACATTAATTCGATTTGGTCGAGGGTGAGCCCCATAGCAATCAACGTGTTAACCCTTTCTACAACGAGTTAGACTCATGGTGAAGATTTTCAACATGATTCAACAAATATATATATTACTCATTTCATTCGACTTCAAAGTAAATATTATTCTCTAATCAACTATTATACTTAAAAGGAAATATAGGCATAAGATATACTTAGAATTTGTCTCTTTTTCCAATAAATTATTAATCCCAAAGTAGTCGTATCGATCAGAATTGAGAAAGAAATCATAGGCCAAGGGGTTAATCGACAAATATTCTTAAAATTGATTTTGATCAAAAGTGTTCGATTGTACGGTGCAGTGTAATCTCGTTTCGAAGATTGTACTCACAGGGACAGATCGTGCAGCCCCAGCGTCCGCCTCGTATTCCCGCACGCGAAATAGAAGAATCGGCCGACGCCGCGGCACGGCGGAACGAAAGTGGCCGGCCGCGGCTGCTCGAAATGCGCTCGCCGCACGTGCAGGTGCATTGTACTTGGTTACGTAGAAGGGAACAATGGGCAGGCTCGTGCTAATTTTAATCGGCCGATGCCACTCGAGCGGCCGAGAACGACTAGTTCTTTCTTTCGTTCGATCGGCGCGATCCGCTCTCTCGTTTTCTTGTTTCACACGTCTTCGATTGGCAACCGGCGTAACACTGTCGTAACAGGGAGAGGGGTTTGAGGTTCATGGAAGGAATAATATTGGATTGGCGTTGATAGGGTGATTTGAGGTGTGTTTATCGTGGTGACGATGAGCGTGGGGGAGATTTGAGATTGGGCATAATTTTGGGCCTTATTTTGGGACTAATGGAGCTTTAGAAATGGTCTCTGTGTTGATTGGATTGTTTGAATGGTTTAGAGTGGATAGTCGTGGGCTAATAAAGTGGGTGTTTGGATAATTTTGAGAGATTGGGCATAATTTTGGGCCTTACTTTGGGACTAATGGAACTTTAGAACTGCTCTGTGTCGATTGGATTGTTTGGATGGTTTAGAGTGGAAAGTTGTGGGCTAATAAAATGGGTGTTTGGATAATTTTATAAGATTAGACCCTGTTTTGGGCCCGATGAAATAGTCTGCGTGTTGAATAGATTAGTGGAATTATTTGGATGTAGATTATTTGGAAAGCTGGAAGGTTGATAAGATGAGTATTTGAGTGAGGTTGAGATTGTGCCTAATTTTGGGACTAATGTGATTTCAGGAATAGTCTAAATACTATTTAAACAGTTCAGATTGACTTCACTGAAAGAGAGGGGATTGTTAAAATACACATTCTGATCAGACCTTGAGACTGGGTCTCATTTTGGGACTGATCTAATTCCTGATACAACCTATATAACAATCTAGATTACTGTTTTTTCTGAAAGATAATTGTCTGAGAGAATATACCAAGATTCTGTTATGAAAATACAAGAATTGGGTCTAATTTTGTGACTAATTTCACTTAAAAATACTATAGTCATCAATTTAACTATTCAAAATGTCCACTACAGGACAATGACTAAATAAAATATACATTTTGATGAAATTTGTATTAGATCGAAACTGGGCCTGATTTTGGGACTGATTTATACCTTTCACAGTTCCATTTCTCTTATTCCACTTATACCTATCTTAAAAGGAACTCTAACGGACTAAACTATCAGCATTATCGCTGAAAGTTCATACAACAAAAGTAAATGTAAACGTAATTGGCCAATGGCACTTTAAAACGCGGTTTTTGTCTACTATCGAGGCTCCAATCGCAGCAACGCCGATGTCCCTAACGGGCACGGTCTGTCCGAAGTTTTCCGTTGTACAAGTTCGAGAAACTTGGCACTTTCGCGTCTAACCGCGTTCGTTCGCCGCTTCGAAAACCGCGACAAGGCTCGTCGAAACTTTTTTCATCGGACGCGGGAAAGTTCGCCGCGTGGAACGACCGCAAGAAAACGAGGAGAAGCCGTACCCAGACTTTCGACTTATATAGACAACGCGTCCCCCGGGGCTCGGCGAAGAATTGTCGATTCTTCCCACTTTTTGTATTAGCTCTTACAAAGAACGAAAATATAACTGAGACATCGTGTACAACGGCTCGAAAGTATTGCCAGAATTCGAAGAAAAGAACCGTTGGAAGTTTAACCGTTTGCGGATGAAGATTCTGCGAAATATACGAAACCTTCAGCAGATAAAGCTAAATTACCCATCAATTGATGAAATCATAGAAAAGAAGAAGACTACGTATTGATCTGTTGCTTTTCGAACAATTAAATCATTCATCCGCGACTTAATCTTCCAAATACGAAAATTTCATCTCCTCGAAATGTCGACATTCGCCCGCAAAGAGTTAAATTTATAGAAAAAATATTGGTCAACGAGAGTATATTTCGGAATATTATTGGTCGATTTTGATGAAATCTTGGTGGAAAGTTGTTCTCGAAAAAATATTTGTCACGTGGTGTTTTATGTTAATTGACATTTACCTTGAATGGGTGGAAACAACCCTTAAAGTTGGATAGACCGCCAGAAAGAAATATAGTTTGGTAGATTTCTCAAAAACTACTGGAGCTAAATGAATTTTGTACAAATCAAATTTGTATACTTCTTAATAAGGAATCCTTTTGTGTAAAGGGATTCTAACAAAGTTTATTTGTTCAAATAATATAATAAAAAATGACGTTTTCTGTTAATTCTTCTAATATAAAGAAATTCTAACAAATTTTATATTCAAATAATATGATTAACAATGACGTTTTCTGTTAATTTTTCTAATGTAAAGAGACTGTAACAAATTTTATTTGTTCAAATAATATAATAAAAAATGACGTTTTCTGTTAATTCTTCTAATATAAAGAAATTCTAACAAATTCTATATTCAAATAATATGATTAAAAAATAACGTTTTCTGTTAATTTTTCTATCAAAACGTTGGTTCAAATACAAAACACGGATAAATTGGAATTTTCATTTTTGCATAGTAAAAGATATTATCATTAAATAAATACCTGTGCTTGTACAGCCGCGAGATAGAGCTGCGCCTCGCCAAGCTCGAAACGTTTCATGGAAATGTCTTCCTGTAGCTCGGCCACTTTAGTGTAAAGATTGCTTTCGGCACTCCTGCAATGCACAAAAGAAGGGAAAACCGTTCAGCGGTTCGAGTTTCAGGGAATTAAAAGGGTCGAGTGTTTTCCTGGGCGGAGGAAGCGTCGCAGAATTGCTCCTTCGTCACGTGTTTCTCCTTAAAGATTAAACGAGCTCGCAGGATATGGAACAAGAAGTGATTAGAATTCTTCTTTGCTCGCAATATTAAAATTCATAATGTTTTCTTTCGACTTTGATGCCGAACAAGTCTTTACTACTTCCAAATATTTGCTAACAATTAGCAAATAATTTTTCAATATTTTTATATTTTATGTATAAATGGAATATATATTTTTATTTCTTCTACCTGACGAATCGATAAACTATTCTAGGTCAATTGTAACATCACCCTACAATTCCATTTAGCTCACACAATATTTTCATGAAGAATTTATCAACATTCAAGAACAATTTTTTGCACTTTATTTAAAGGGAGGAAATATTTGATTTAATAATTCTAACTATCTGAAGATTAATTGTGAAACTATCTCTAGCACTTCACTTTGTATTCTCAATAACTGGGAAGCAGTGGTTCTCAATTCCTCAAACTGATTATTTAAAAAGCGAAATAATTTAGAGGTAAATTGTTTAGTATATAATTGAATGTTACGTACTTTTTTTGCATGCCCACCAGTGCATTTAAAGCGTCCTGGATTCGTGAAATCTCTTGATTGAGACCATCGTATTCTCGTTGAAGATCGTCCATCAGCGGCAGGGTGCTGGTTCCGGTTGGAGCCAGTTCATCCCTCAACGATGGCACCTGATTGATTCTCTCTATTGGCACTTGTTCTGGAGGACCTGGAGCCACGAACAAACGTCTGGCTGGTTTCTTAGACGGTGCTGCGTTGGCTGCCAAACTCCTTGCCAGAATCTGAACAGAGGAACAGGATCCTCTTAGTAAAATTAACATTACAAGGGAAACATAGAAACGAAGGAATAAAATGGTAATCAGACTTTAAATAATAATTTGACAACAGAAGTCTGTATAATAAAACGATAATACAAATATATATAATAAAATAATAATAAAAATCTATTTCTAATATAATTTTCAATAAGTTATGTTTGTCTTAGTATCTCTAATTCCTTAATGTTCTGAAAATACCTTAAAGTACCATTTTGAATTTGAAAGTTCCATTGGTAGGTATTTTAAAAATTTAATTGAATTTTAATTAAAACCACTGTAGTGTGTAAATAATTTTACATCCTAATGAGACTACTGTGTTAAAGAAATTGTTTAGATCTTAAAATTGATCTGGCTAACTATAAATAAGTTACTACATTAAATGAGTATTTATCAATACAGATATCAGAATAGAAAATTAGATAACTCAAGAAATAAAGAGTTAGAGTACAATTATTATTTTTTGTTTCATAGTTCGACTAAATAAGTCCACTAGCTTCAACTGAAGTCTAGAAACGTTCTCAGGGTGTAACACGAAGTGCAAAGGGCGAATTCCAAGAACTTCAGAGCTAAGATACAAAGATGGCCGCTGGGAGATTGAAAAGGCTACTGAATATCCTTGGACCATTGAGCTACGAAGCTGCTCGAGGGAAAGACTTTATATTCAGCTTCAGCGTCCCATTCGCGTGAAGTGCCGTAAAGCGAAAGTTCTTTCCAGTTCGACGCGTTTCTATGACTAATCATCTCAAACGCCTAACGGGGGGGCTGTGTCGCGCGATAAAAGCCTTTTCCATCTTACCCCCGACCCCTTCCCGAACAGAATGACTTACCCATAGGAGCCAGTAATTCGAAATGGAAGCTACAATCGAGTTTACGAGTTCTGGATCTGTCGAGAAATTTACTCGTTCTCCTCTAGAATCCTTCGAAATGGGGGTAGCTACCCTTTAATGGCTCTCGATATGATGAAAGTAGATCGGAGTGAAAAAAATGTTGCACAAAAACATTAAAAAAAGACATCTTATGGAGCTTATGAAATAAATCTTGTTGCCTTTTTAATTTGTAGCTACCCCATGAGGTCACGCTTGCTTATGACGACGTTAGAGAATATTGGTATAATTCTGGAAGATGTTTTTACATAAAATTCGACGATTAGAAGCAATATAACTTTGAGTTTGTTTATTAGTTTCACTGGTTCAAAGTAAAAAAGAATATTAGAAAAACAGTGTTATAGAATTTAAACTACCTCTTTTATTAATGAAGATTCTTTGAGATTATCCTAGTAAGTTGGGAGTCCATGAATATCAATAGCCTAAGAACAGACTTCAGAAAATGTCAGAAAATATACACATTACTGTTCTTCAATTTTCTTTTTCTTTCATTTCCATCTGCTCATTTCCACAAAACCGACCCAGAGCCTCGTAAACTCGAGTACCTACAGGTAGTAAGGTGTCTAATTAACCCCTGACTCCGTAATACCCTGCTGGACTCGTAACGAGCATTTCGAACTGAATTCGACAAACATAAGTGCTACTTACTTTTAATAATATAAATTGAATATTACTTTTCTATTGTCAATCACTAACTAATGTAGACAGAGAATAAATACCAAATTATTTTTTCCAAAAAACAGTTAATGACGAAATAGCTTCATCAAACACAATTGAATTCACGAACCCCAAAACACAAGTCAACCAATCAACATTTCCAGAAAATCAATCTTCCTTTTCATCTTCGTTCATTCATTCGTCATACATTTCATGTACCCTTACTGCAAGCATTGTCTACACATACAATTTCGTTACGTGTACTTTTTCATATTATTAAATAGGCCTGAATAAGCTAAAAACCTTCAGTCGCCCTTTAAAAAAGTCACAGGAAAAACTAATCCAATAATTCAAATAGAGTCGAAACCCTAGATCCTGACCAGAGTTAAATAAATAACTCGCATAGATAACGTTGGAAAGTGGACTTGTGCAGTTTTAGATTTCACAACTTCAATCATCAAAGAAATCATAAGATGATAAGGGGTTAATAGCAAGACTAATCCCAGGAGGACCTACTTGCAGGTCGTTCAACGGCACGACGACCTGAGCCTCCTTGGCGACACCCTGATAGCACTTGGCCTGCTCTCTGGCCCTATCCGCCGCGGCCTCGGAGATCCCGGCGACGCATTTGCACGCCAAACCGCACAGCTCCTCGTAGACCTCCGCTATCTCCCCCAGAATGCTCGTCAGGCATCGCGTCTGATACCGTTCCGTGATAGCGTTAGTGGCCCTTAGTTGCAGAACGTAGGCGTTGTGCGCCTCGAAGTAGGCGCGTTTCAGCTCTTGCTCGGTGCCACCGTCGATCATCAGCAGCGCGGCGTACGCGCGCTTGTAGTCGGCTCGGGCACGCTGCAGCTTCTCCTCGGACTTGGCTACCACTTGCTCGAAAGCCTCGCGATGGGCGAATACCTGGAACACAAAAGATCAGTTGGTTGGTTAGTAGTGATCGTTAATTGTGGCAGGAGGAGTGAGAGTTTCTAGGGAGCAAGAGGGTTAGCAGTGATCAGCTGGTTTGGTAGGATATCTGGGACTTTCGAGTGTAGAAAGATGTCCGAGACTTCGAAGTGTAATAAGAGATCTAGAATTTTTGATGGAAGGATGTTTGAGACTTCGAATTTGGAAGATAGAGGATTGTGTGTTGGCAGTGATCGTTAGATATAGGTTAGTAGTGATTGTTAATTGTGGTAGGAGGAGTGAGAGTTTCTAGGGAGCAAGAGGGTTAGCAGTGATCAGCTGGTTTGGTAGGATATCTGGGACTTTCGAGTGTAGAAAGATGTCTGAGACTTCGAAGTGCAATAAGAGATCTAGAATTTTTGATGGAAGGATGTTTGAGACTTCGAATTTGGAAGATAGAGGATTGTGTGTTAGCAGTGATCGTTAGATATAGGTTAGTAGTGATTGTTAATTGTGGTAGGAGGAGTGAGAGTTTCTAGGGAACCAGAGGGTTAGCAGTGATCAGCTGGTTTGGTAGGGCAATTGGGACTTTCGAATGTAGAAAGATGTCTGAGACTTTGAATTAGGAAGATAGAGGATTCTGTTTTAGCAGTGATCATTAGATATAGCAGAGTATCTAAGACTTTTAAAGAGAGCAGGACATTTAGGATCTTTGAGTATAGAGGGATGTCTCAGACTATAAATTGAAGGCATAGATGATTTTATCTTAGCAGTGATCATTAGTCATAGCAAATCATCTAGAACCTTTAAGTAAAGTAGAATATTTAGGAGTTTTAACTGTAGAAGGGTGTCTAAGATTTTCAATTGAACAAGTAAAGGATTTTAACTTGGTAGTTATCATTAGTAATAGTAAAAAGTTTGGGACTTTCAAATACAGCAAGGTCTCAGATCCAAAGTTGGAACTATAGTCCCTGATCAAAAAATTTGGCCACCATTGATACCATCTTAGAGAAAATTAGCAATGATATATTATAACTCAGGTTTAATTTATTTACTTAACTCTCGGTCTTAACTATGATTAATAAAAATTTAATTATAATCATAAAATACAATAATGATTAATAAAAAATTTTAGCAACTATGAGTGGCCCCAATTTTTTTATCAGGGCCTGTAAAAAGATACTTGCCTTCCTCGATTGAAGCTTCCGATGAAAACTGGCTTCCAAAGTGGGCCTAGACAATTGTTGTTGGAAAAATGCTGCTACGTCCAGGTGGGCTACCGCGTCAGCCTCTACCTGGCGGAGTAAATTCTCCCAAACCCGTCGCATGCCACCTGTGTCGATCCTCATATCCCCGGATCTACCGCGAAACTCGTCGACCAGACGCCGAACGTTCGCGGAATGGTTCTCCATCGCAACGCCCAGCTCCTGAGCGAACTCCGACACTGTAACAAAACGGATTATATTAGTTTGACATCGTTGAACGAGGTTTGAGATGGGCAACTTTAATTTATTATATTGAAACGTAGAGAAAGATAGTTCGGTAACACTAAAAGATAACGTTGTTGATGAGTTTTAGTTTGATTGGTTTGCTTATGTCGTTGCACTAGGTTTGACGTGGATGAACTAGTCTTGATATCTGCTACTGTGAAACTTATCTTAGATCGTGGGAATCTATTTTGGTTCTAAATTAAATAAATTGATAACAAATTTTGTTTACGCTTTCCAGTTTGACTGGTTTGAATCGTGTTTGAACCATGTTTGACGTTGTTGACTTAGATTCTTAATCCATAGAAATAACTTGCAGCCGAGAATTATGATTTGTTTATAATACTAACATTAATATAAAAAGTATGAGGCGGTTTGACCAAGTTTGATCACCGTTTAAAAATATTTTAGTGAACGCACTAGGGAAGTGACAGATGAAAAACTTCAAAGATGCAAATGTTGTAAGAATATAATGTTAAAGAATCGACAATGATCTATTAATTACTCGATTGCATCAACGTTGTAACGACGAATTCGTTGATCTCATTCATTGTCAATCAAATCGCATGTTGATTTGTTTCCAGCCACCGAAGGGCGAAACCACATAACGGTTAACCCCCAAAAATGTCCGTTATCGAGTGCGCTTCCACGGACGTTGCCCGTGCAACAATGGCCACCACTCATTGAATTAACAGACGCCATTGCAAACTGTTTGCCGACACGACTCGTCCGTTTCCCGTGCGTTGAATTATTTGAAGAGAACTCGAAACCCCGTGTAATCGAGGCCGCAGACTTTATGCGTGTCTGATGTGCGTGAAATATCCCCAACAAAATTACCAAATTGTGATTTTAATAGAATTTGATATAACTTTATTTTAGTTTCAATTTCCTGTTGCTATTGAAAATTGAATTTTATTTAATGCCAGCTATTTTAAGTGTCTTCGTACAAATGTGTACATACTCATATAAACTTCTATGGTCTAATTATAATTTTGTAGAAAATATTGATAAAAATATAGATATGTAAATATATATTGTTAAGGATTAATTTATAAAGATTTGAGCTGAAGGGGAATTTGTGTCATTTAATAATAATTTTGGTAGGTTTAACATTAAAAGAATGTTCGTCAAACTTCTCCAAAGTATCAACTTTATCAAACATTTTATCATACTACAAACTTCATAGAAAGTAACAAACATACTAAGAATGATCATAATAAATGTAATACTTTATATATAATTGTAAATGAATTTTTGTTCACAAAATAATTAATTAATTATTGTTTATACATAATTCTAAAATAAAACGATTAGAATCAATTCATTGAATTAATACATCAATCCTCTCCACGAATTTATAGCTGTTCACGATAATGAGGGCCAAGTCCTGCCTCGATTACTTGGAGTCGGAAAACGTTTAAGTTCTGACGACGTCCGTAAACGTCTTCCCTGGAAAATTCCTTTTAACGAGGGAACAGCTCTGATAAAGCGTTAATTAGGGTGCGAACAGTCCTCGTTAACAACCGATATCTAATAACTTCTACAGTTACGTCTTAGCGGCAAAAATTCTTTCAGGACCAATTAACGGTATCATTAATGTCTCTTGAAATATCTCAACATTTTTGCAGCTTGTAAAGACGCATCTCTTCATTTCATTATTCATGGATCAACAATTAATATTCTTTTCACTAATATTTGTTAATATCATACGAAACTTTCAAAAGGAACATAAACTTCGCCGCTTTTTCTATAAGTTAATTAAGAAAAGAATTTAAATAAATTAGATTACATTAAAAAATAAGTTAGACCACTATTGCTTCAAGCCACTTATTTATGAACTTCAATTTATCATAACTACTATTTTTGAGTTCTCGAAAAAATAAGCTTCTATGAAAAATTGTTGGATTAATTAAATACTAATATTGTAATATTATTAATAATATTAATTAATGTTGATTATTAATGTTAGTAACTGTAACGTTGTAAATTGCAATATTCCAGATTATTATGTTCCAATTCACAATACTCTAATTTACGAAGTTCCAATTTATAATGTTCCAATTTACAAAGCTCCAACTTACAATATTCCAATTTACAATGTCCCAATTCACAACGTAGTTAACAATATCAATTATTATTAATTATTTATATCACTAATCGTAACATTACCATTTAACAAATCTTAATCAATTTCCAACAAATAAAAGTTAGATCACTAAACCACTCAAATAATAGATACGATTTTTATTTTGATGACAGAATAATGACCCAAGGTTAAAGATTTATTTTAACAGTCAAGCCTTTGAAACGGGATCGTTGGAAACCCGCAAACGTTTCGTTAGACCGTCGGATCGTTTCCTCGCGGCTGATAAATTACATTCATAGGGTTCGAGGGGAAACATTCATGGGGGTTCCTTTGGGCTGGCCGTATATAAGGTGAGATTGGATAGAAAATCGAATCGATGAGTTTACAGCTGTAGCTAAGGGGAAACTGTGGATTAAGGTGTCTTCCTCGCTGAGAAAAATCGAATTTTCTTACCGTTTTACTGGGCTGAACATACTGGTTCGAGTATGAGAAAAGTAATGACAAAAGTAATGAGACTATTCTTAGGGAAGCTTGTAGGTTGAAAGTATTTCGAATGATATTAAGTGAGTGCGAAGTCTTCGTGAATTTCTGAATAGTATAAACAGTATGAACGAGTAATATAATAAATAATAGTAGAAATAAGTAGTATACTAACCCCTTGCTTTATAATAACGAGTCAGACTTGTGGTAAGCGTTTTAAACAGAATTTAATAAGCATAAATGTGTTTAGAATTTGTCTCTGTTTTTTACTAAATTATTAAATTGTATCGATCATGGCTGGGAAATAAATTGTGGAGCAATGGGTTAATGTAGTAGTAAAAAAAGGATACATAAGTAATGTAATAGTGTAAATGAATATATTGTAAATATTGATTTACCAAATTTAATTTATTTAATTGCCTGTTCTTCTTCCAACTACTAAATTCTGCACAATACACATAAACACTGTTTGTCATTGCATAGATATTACATCATAGACTTACAATCTTTTATATTTCATATTTATTTTCCAATGGAACATAGTTTCCAATTAAAACTTCCAGAATTTTGTAGCAACAATTTCATTACTTTTCTGCTATGTCTAGTATTTTACATAAATCTTCAGAAAGGATATACAAGATATGAATTTCGATGACTTACCAAGAAAAGACTCTGTGACAAGTTTCAACTTTCTATCTTCATTAAAAGAGAAATTACAGAGGATGTTCTGACTATCTGGTTTCTCTTTACTTTCCCGATTTTCTCGTGTGTAAAAGTTTCAAAGAAAATCCGATAGGTGAAAGCCAGTGTAACAAATGTCAGTGAATTTCCTGAGATTTAATGGATTCAGATCCAAGTCGTGACATAATTTTGAGCAGCATGTTTGTCACAAGGACAATGACATCATCGGCTTACTAGATTGAAACCCTACGTTACACACGAATCCACCGAAAATGATTCCGCTTGTTTTGTAACAAGATAGTTTGGCAGCAAAACAGTATCATTTCTAAATGGAGCGAAACGAACGTCATCACTGGGTCACGGTTTTTCGAAGATGAAATCGCTGGTTGACATCGGATTCGTCCCAGAATTAATGGGACAGATCACTAAATCGAGCGTGCACTATTACAATTTCAAATTTCATGTTTAAAACTGTTGACGATCATAATGCTACTCTGTTATATTCTATTTATTTTCTTTTTGTTACGCATTATTACGTTTTACTTCGTTACTTCTCAAACTATATTGTATTTTATTTTATAATTTATATTGTATTTTATTTTACTTTGCAATTTATACTATATTGTATTTTATTTTACAATTTATATTGTATTTTATTTTACTGTACAATTTATACTATATTGTATCTTATTTCACAATTTATATTGTATTATACTTTATCTTACAATTTATACTATATTGTATTTTATTTTATTACTTGACGTTATTTAAGATTGCTCATTGTTTACATTTATGTTTTCAATGCTAAATTCACGTAACCTATATTTATTCGGAATGTTAAGAGAACTATGATATATTTAAAGTAATTGTTGTTTAAAATTAACATTAAACGTAGACGCATATATCACTTTTCTCCTGAAAACATGTACCATCTCATAGATCATCTATTTAAATCATTTTCTGAACAATACTCATTTAATTCAAGTCAAAAATTCTTTCCTTTCAATGCCATAGTTCAATTTTTCTTAAAACAATTAACCCATTCAGTTATCAAGCGTAGTATTCATTAAAATCTTGTCAAATATTCTTTCCTTTCAATGTCATAGGTCAATTTTCCTTAAAATAGTTAATCGATTCAGTTCTCAGAATTAATATTCATTAAAATCAAGTCAAGAATAAAATTATCGAGACGAGATCGAAATTCGCTGCATCACGGAATTAATGAAGTCTCTATCCACTGTATTTTTAGCCGTGTCTACGTAATTGAATGTCAATTCCGTGTTCGTTAACGAGCCAGGTTGCAAAACATAATCGCCTTTGCGTTGGAGGCGGCCAACGACAAACGAATTTTCCTTTTTTCCTTCGCGGAAATGATTATCCGATACGCGTGAGCCATTTTGTGTAAGGTTTTTATTTCGTAAAAATCCATCGTTCAAGTAATTGTTTCATATACTCTAATTAATAAAATATTATTGAAATTAAAAAATAAATTTTAATATCTCTTTGCATAATCCCACACTTTATGTTTTCTAATTAATAAAATATTTATTCAAATAAAAAAATTCATTCCAGTTTCTCTCTGAAGGATCTCACATTAAATATTTTTTAATTAATAAACTGTTTACTCAACCTAAAAATTCCAAATTTAACTCTTCGTCCAAAAACCCCACATTTTAAATTGTCTAATCAATAAAATATTTATTCAAACAA